TTTATTTGAAGCATTTTTCGCAATTTTGAAAAAAAAAATTTTTCGTCAGCGTCAACACTTAATTGGATATTTCCTTCTATACTTTTTAGCACGTAGCTATTTATTATTAGCATTGTTCTTCCGACGTCTGATTTCTTTTTAATTATAGGAAATGCGTTTTTCTAAGGTACATCAACTTTTGGGATTGACTGTATAGCCAATACATCCTTAAAGCGAGTCTGATGAATTCCACTGAGAGGACTCTCCCATGTTATTTTTTTGACAATTGCTTTTTACAAAATTTTCATTCTAGGAAAGTAAATAATTAATTGATAAATTGCATAATATGTGTAATGTATAAAATACAATTTAAGAGAATATAGAACGTAATATAGAATTTGACGAAAATTATGGTTGGAGAAATAGAGGCCGACGAAAATTTGAGATTATCGAGACGAATCAGGATGATCGACTATAATGTTCGAATTGGCAAATTGCAATGTAGTTATTATCAATGCGCAATTAACAGCAATGCGGGACATTTGCCTACGCTAGCAGTTCACAGCTTTGATAAATTACATGCATGGGATAGTATCGCGCAGAAATGGGTTCTGGCCGATTAAGAACGCGTGATAAGCGCGACGTCACTTGGCCGCGAAGCTCACTATGTAAGTGATGAATGGTAGCGGGGAGAAATAACGCAGGTAAAAGTTATCGCTGTTCGGGACGGTTTGTTTATAACGGATAATGAAAAACGATCGCCGAGCAGCAACGCGTGGAACGGTTCGCACCTGTAGAATTCAAACGCTTGCTCGCGGCTGCTCCGTTGCTTTAACCACTCGCGGAATGCCTGTTGGAACCGCGGCCAAATGGCACAATTAACATCTGATTGTGAAATCTTCTCCTGCAATCTGAGTCCTTTTACTTCCACACGTCCCGAAGTGCACAATAATTTCTCAGTTGCCATACAATATTCTTTCAGCATCGACTTTATGCTCGGAGAGAAATTGTATACATTCACAATTTTTCTCATACTAAACTATTAAATATCACTTTAAATTCTTCTTTTTCTACTTCTCCTCGGAACATCGCTGATTCGGCTGCCTCGACGCTTTTTAATCGAAGCTCGTGAGCAATTAACTTCTTTCAAAGTGGGGAAAACCTTTCTGCGGAGATCTTTAGCCACGATCTACGACCGGCCGATAGCAAAGGACTCACGGCGCGAAAGGCCGCGAACTTCCTGTCCTGGACGATTAATCTCGCACCTGGCGAGACGTCCTTGACCCCTCCTGGAAACGGAAAGCTTGTCGGGAGTCAAGGATGCGCATGCAACGTCTACCGGTTGGTCCGCGGCGTGCTCGGGAGATCGATGCCGGTGAACGCAAGGTTAGACCTTAGCGACTTTCGTTTTGCGTGACCAACAGGGGGTGAAAATGGGCTGGCGTGGCTCGATTTAACGAGCGTTTCAAAACGTCTGTGCATACATGGGAAGTCTGTAATTGAGATATTAATCAAGCATTTCGAATCAATGAAAAAAGACCGTGGCCTTGTTTATAAAACGTACGTACTTATTAAAGTGCAAATAAATCTTGCATAATCTTCCTTTCATTCTCTTGTACCGAATCGGTGTTCAAAGTGCCATGTGTATGCGTGTTTGTCGTGGATACGACGTCGTCGTAGAGTCGTTGGTAAAAATTTATGATCAGGTAGCGATTCTATTCCGATTAACGGCGACGTTTGCTCGTGACCAGGAGCTGTTCGCGTTTGAATAGGTCGTGCCCTGTAATATGGGACTCGTTTCTACGATGGATCAGAAATAATGGCCATCCTGGTTTCATACGAAATTATTGCCAAGTCAGAAGAGAAGGTAAATAGTGTTCAGGTGTTTCCTTCCTTAGCTGGTTCGATGCAAGAGTCTAGTTCCTGGAGAATTAAGTGGATAAGCTAGTTCCATCACCATAAGGATGTCGCTTTATCACTATGAATTCACTCTCCATTTGTAGAGGGAAAAAAAATGGAGAAGAATACTTGACTCTCGCCCATCCCTGGTTGACACATTTTTCCAGTAATTTATGTATTATTCGACAATTTATAAAGACTTCGAAACTTTTTTTTATAATATGGGACATACGTATTTAGTATTTCGTTCAATGCAAGAGTTTGCAAAATTAATTGTGTTACGTTTCATTTGTCTTCTGTACCAAATTAGCACTGAGGGACGTATTTTATTGAATGTAAATTCCTTTGGCTGGTTTATGTACCTTAATCTCATTAGCCTTCGTAATTTTAATTCGATAGCTCCGTAAATTGTACGCTTGTTCACAAAAAGTAAACGCGTTCACCGGTCGGCGACATTTTTCTTCCATTGCTAGCGTTTCTCTCTGGCCATTCCTCGCGCTCGTTCACCGTGTCGGAATATTCAATTACTTTAATCCGGCACGCAACAACCGCGGTAAAGGGGGGTTTCCATTTCGATCATGGAATTCAGTTGCGCCACGATTTTTCCACTGAAAGATGGAACGGCCTGGCGGTGGTGAACGAACCGTGGCGTCGGGTTTCCGCAATGACGATCGGGCCTTTAGGATTAAATTTCAATGAAGGGATATTGGAAACGAAATCGGTGATAAAACGTGTCGCTGCTATTGAAATAAAGATTTTTTACCCGGCTTGTCAAAGAGTCATTATATTAAAAAAAGAAAAATTGCCTGTACCTTACAACGACATGTATTAATCAATATTATAGTAAATAATCAATCAAATTTATGATGTCTCTTGTGCTAAACGTTCCTTTATTTATCATACTGATTTTCCATTTCTAACTGAATTTACAATACAGAGGAATTCGATTGAAAGTATGTAAGTCGTATGTAAGACGTAAGACGTAAGAAAGTACGTAAACTTACAAATTAACGTGTAATGTCAATACTTTTGTAAAAGTAGCTAGAGAACTTTCAAGGCAAAAGGCAGGCGTAAATGTTTTATAACTTCGAGAATTATCCTGAATGCTTTTCGGCGCAAGAAAGCTTCTTCCTTCTCCTGAGAAACTGCCGCGAGCTTTTTTCTTCTGCGTGCAATAAAACATTTCGGTTCCACATTCTTCATCCGCCGCCGCTGAAAAACTTGCGAAGTTCCAACATCGAACTAGTTCGGGAGTTGAATCGACTAGAAAAGAATGTAAAATTGCAA